GGTTTCAGATACGAGGAGTCAATAAATGACAGTGGAATGTGAGCATCCACATTTTGGCCAACTCTTCTCCAACCCTATCGATGTTCTCTCCTGATCTGAGCTGTGTTTGGCTGTCAACAAATTGCCCACTTTTGATTTCAGCTACACATAAAGCTGGTATCCTTTTTTTCTTCTCCAATATGGAGACGGAGTAAAATCTTGTACCCTCACTAAAGATCTGGCTGGTGATGCGAAATTGCAAAGATACAGATTTCGATGTGGGAGCTGCACGAAACATCATAAAAACAGAGTCCAAATGAAAATTAAAAACTGCTGTGATGTTTTAGCACATGGGTAGACTTAAAAGGAAAAAGAAAAAAGATTTACAAAAAAAAAAAAGAGCCACCTACGTGTACATCTTGGCATACAAATTGCTTTCCATTAATAATCAAAATTCTCTAACTAAATTCTTAAGAAAACCACAAAGAGTCAACTTATTCAGCTGAAAACCTGAAAGAAATTACAATAAAAACTCAGTATTCACACTAACAGTGAGCAAAAATGCTCATCATACCCGTATGAATATTTATAGCTTTACATATTTATTTTTTTTCACAACTGTTGACACACTGCTTGTCCTTAAGGACATCAACTGCTCATGTTCACCAACAATGCATGCCAACAACCCAAGCCAAAACAGAAACAAAAACTTAGATATAAAGGAGCAGAAACGACTCAACATCTGCAAAAAAAAACTAAAGATAATTGCACTTATGATTCACTTTTCTAACTGTAAAACAAGCGATTGTGTGGGTGCTTTGTGCACAGTTGTCTAACATAAAATACTGCTTTTTTTTTTCTTTTTCAAACAGCACCCTCGAGTTTATTGATTGAAACCTTTAACGCTTTATAAGACTTCCCCTGCAGTTCTGGTGTTGGGGACACAAACAGCACCATGTATTGAGCAGTACCATCATCCCTCTTCTCCAAAAATATTGATCAGCGGTCTCAAACAGCACATCCTCGACGCTCACAGCACTTTCTGAAGACACTGAGGGTATAGTTTGGCCACCACACACTCAAAATGGCGGCCGAGGTCCCAGAGGCGGTCCGGCGTCTCGTAGACCTTTGTCCATTGGTCAGCTTCATCGTCGTACTGGTAGAGAGAATTCTTGCGGCTGGTACGAAACACATGTTCTTCTACCATGACTTGCGTAGCCCGAACAAACAGATGCAATCTGCCCTGAAGCAGAAGCACCTTGATGTAGGGGCTGGTCGCTTGCTCGAAGGGGAGGTCTCTTTTACGGCACCAGGTGTTCTGCTCGATGTCGTACACCTCCACGGTAAACATGCGCTGGTGGTTTCTGCAGATGCCTGCTATGTAGTAGATGCAGTTTTTGTACAGGGCGGCCAAGCCTTGAGTACGAGGAACTTTCATGGACGGTAAATGGCCCCAGTAGTCTTTGCGTGGGTCAAAACAGAAGAAGTATTCTCCTGGGAAAATGTCATTAAAAAAAGAATGATCAACATCCAAACGGATGGCCAAAATTGCTAAATATGTAATTAATATCACAAATTAGTCATTTATATTACGTAGCACCAAAATTAAACTACTTGTCCAAAACTGAAAATTCTGGACTCACAAGGTTGAAAACTTTTAGTTTTTATTAATATTTTGAATGACCTTTTTATTGTTATATTTTTGCTTTTATTTGAATCTTAGTTAAATTCAGTAATTTTGTTTTAGATTTTTGTCATTTTTATTGATATTTTATATATATATATATATATATATATATATATATATATATATACTGTTAGTTTTTAAGATTTATTTTCTTTCCAGTTACTCATTATAGTGCTTCAAACTAAAATTTGAATTGCTGCCTTAGCAACTAACTGTTTATATAAACTAATATTTATATTTTATTTCACATTTATTTCAATTAGCAAACATGTCTCGTTTTATATATATATATATATATGCACACACATTTAATAATAATGCTTATTATTTTTGTTGTCATTAATATTTTTACTTTTTTTTTTAACTGATTACAACTTTACCTTTTTCAAACAGGTGTGATATTACATAGGCAACAACTGTTGACTAGTGAAAGCATGTTTCAGTGTGTAATATCGACTTTAAACCGTCTTTATTTCAATTTCTATGGCATTGTTTGCTGAAAATATTCAGTGGCTGAAATTTCGGTCCATCCCTAATATGAAATACTAGTCTAGCTCTTTTGTGCTCTCAGTTATTGCTGATTTTGCTGAGAGAGGTGAACCCACCTGACCTTTTTATCCAAGTAGAGCAAAAAAGACATGACAGGCCAATGAATTACAAGGATATACACGTTTGCACACTTTGATGACCCTGATTCCAGGTGACTCTGCAATAACCCCACTTACCTTGCAGCACATAGATGCGGTCCTTATACTCTACTGTGCTGTGGAACTCCATGGCCACCGGCATGGGACTGACCGCTGTCCAGCAGTTGTCTCTGGCATCATAGCACTCCACAGATTTCAAAGCATTTCGTCCGTCCCCTTCATACACTCGACCACCCATAGCGTAGAGTTTCCCGTAGCAGTGCACTAGCCTGCAGCCGATGCGCGCCCGCAGCATGGGTGATCGCGGGAGCCACCTGTTGCCAGCATGCTCGTACTGCCAGAAGTCACTCTCTGCGCGATGGTCGATGCACACCTCACTATTGCTCGGCCGATAGCCTCCAGAGATGAAGATGTCGTTCTCTGACGAGACCAAAATGCCAACCTCTCTGAGGTCATTAGGTGGCTTGCAAAGCTTGTACACCTTACCGGCAACAATGTCCAGGCAAGGCACGGTCTGCTTCTTCCCTGAGTGCTTGTGAGCCGCGTCGAAGCAGATGACCATCTCGGATGCAGTCATACCCAGCCGCTGCGGGCAGCCATTGGTGCCGTTGAGCCGACCCTTATCCGAGGGATCCCTGGACAAGGCTAGGGCGAAGGCTGGGGGTATACGGCTCAGAAAGGCCTCGTCCAGCAGGGGCAAGCGGATGCATTTGGCAAAAACCTCAGGTAAATCTGCCTCCCGACGTGAGCAGTCATACTCCAACCACTGCACGATGCTTTCGTACACGTGCTCCTCTTTTTCCACGTTCAGATCGTCGCTGTTGAGAATGCTGACCAGCTGTTCTTTGGTCAGATGAAGGAACTCCTGCTCTCCCATCACGCACAGGAACTTCTTGCGGATGTAATCCTGTGAGCGCTCCCGCAACTCCTGGTGGCCGTAAGCATCTGCGAACATGAAGACCCCGATGCAGTTCTGAGGGTCCAAACGGCTGATCATAAACTGGGCACACTGGTCTTGGAGGGCTGGGATCTGGAAGATGCTGGCGGCGGTGAACAGTGCCTGCACGTTAGACTCGGTGAGAGTGACACGTGAGGTGTAAGCGTAGTCCAGAACCAAATGCATGGACTCAGACTCCACGCCAACAATCCGCACCTCCCGCTGACTGCTCTCTGTAAGGCCACTTGTGAACATGGATCTGACAAAAGATAAAACAAACACCATTACCATGTGAACAAAACAAATTTTTTACGACAGTATGCTTTTAATCAACTGTGGTTCTACAATGTGCGATTCCATTCCAGTACTTAACTCAAGCATGTTCAAGTCTAAATAAGTGGCACTCCAAAGCTTTTTTACATTTACATTTTTTACATTTAATGTGTAGTTTGTTAAAGGGGTCATATGATGCGATTTAAATTTTTCCTTTCTCTTTGGAGCCTGGTTCAATACAAGTTAAATTCTATTTAAAGAAGTAAAGTCAACTCCAATCAAAGCTTTTTTAAAACCAAAAATTATCAAACAGTTAATATGGATGCAAACCAGCAGGTCAATGCTCCAGGGGGTGAACACTTGTTTAGCCTTTGCAAGTGCAAATGTCTTTCTGAGGTGGCAATACTTTAATTATTTAGCATATCATGCCAGAGTTAACAGGTTTGCATGTTTATGACATCAAAGCTGAAGGACAATGATGTAATTACATCGTCAAGTGGCTATATTTTTTGGAAGAGTACACATTTGAATGTTTATTGCCTGCCCTGTATACTTACATTGGCTTACTGTAAACTATTTTTTTTAACTGAGGGACAAATGCTACCGATAGAGCTGATCTTGTATTGAACCAGGAACACGCCTTTAAAGTTTTTGCTGATTAAGTATTGAAAAGTCTGACTGTCTGATCAGTTTAAAGTCATCATACCCATGTATAATAATTTAATAGTTAAGTCGTTGTCATATTTTCAGTAAATGAAGGGTCTGTGTTTCAATCTTAGCTTTTATCACTTCACAGTTTCTCAACAAATGTTACGAAAATGGTTTATACTTAAAGGTTTAAAGCATTGATGTGTTGAGGAGCCACCTGAAGTAAGGACTGATGGCAGCGAGGACATTTCTGTGACAAGAGAATGTTTTGCCATGGTCCACTTCCACGACAATGTCAGTCAGCTGAGCTTCGTCGTACAAGGCTTTAAGCTGCTGGAGGATGTTGCAGGCATGAAGGGCATCTACCCCGTTGTAGCTTGTGCTTGCTGGAGTCCCATTCTGTACTTGTAACAGCTTTCCTACGTCTACAAGACAAAAGAGTTAGACAGCTGAGATGATTCCAGGTTTTACAGTGACAATAAACATTATAAATTACAAGTATGACTCTTTTGCAGTCGGTTTTAGTTTCTAGCTTTTAAACGGACATGTAAAAATGCTAACTTCCCATATTACAATTTATTAGCTCTTTATTTTTTAGAACTACATTTCAATGCTACATATAACAATGCTACAAAACTACATTAGAGTTTCAATGCAAAAATAAAACTGGAAAAAAAATATTTAAGAGCTCATTCAACAGATATTCCAAACCCACAGGCTCTGTGCAAAGTCAGTGGCATCCAAGTTTACTTACTACTATTCTCTTAGAGCTGTTCAGAACAAAAAAAAAATCGGAGAAAACATGTTATCCATTAACTAACCAACCAACCACAGCCCCCACATTACTGTGAAACTAGTTAAGAGCAGGAAAACTAGCAATAGGTTCCAAAGAACTAGTATTGCTTTCGACAGACTTGGACATTTAACACTCTCCTGATAATCTGATCGAAGAATTGTGTTTAGTTACTACGAGCAGGCGAGTTTCGGTGCTTAACTTGTTAGCTGTGCTAATCCAGGTGCTGTTTTACCGGTTAGCACAACATCAGGCTAGTCCGGTGTCGAGCCATTCAAGTCCAGACTAGAGCCCTTTCATAGCACTAAATAAACCGTGACAACGCATTGAATATGGCGAAAGTACAGAGTTACACGAATGAATGAATTGTATCGTAAATAAGCGAGTGTTTGCACAGTCACTCGCTGAGCTAGTCTCGCTAGCCGCTACCTCTCCGTACTTTTTCTGCCTATATCCAAACAACCACCGGAGTTTGCTGTATATTCGAACAAACCGTCTAACTCTATCTCGTTCCGTCAAAACTAAATAATATCAGAGATGAATAACGCGTAAACAGACTAGAAAACTTTTGGAAATAAGTTTGGATTTTGAAGAGAAGATCTAACCTCCACTGGCAGCCATTCTCCCCAATCTGTCGCACGGCGACTGTGGGAAAACGTCACTAATGGAATGGAGCCCCGGAAACAGGCAGCAGCCAATCAGCGTCGCCGAACGCTCGTGACCGCCAATAGGCTTCCGAGGCTGTCTGTTTTTGCAAAATAGTTCAAAGCAATATCAAGGGAGTTTATATTCCAGCAGGAACGTCCGTGCTTGTGTTTGTGATATGAATAACTGATATATATGAATATAAACCAGGATTTAGGGAGTTAAATGTATACAGTTAATTATTAACAACTAGAACGTAAACAAATATTCAGGATTAGAGGGACTAAATATACAAGTTTTAGAATGGCTGAATGAAAATTATTATTCTGATCTCTGCATACTGGTTTGGACGTGTGCCCTTCATATATATAGTGGTTACAGCACTGAATAATAACAGGTGACAAATCTATTTGATCTTATCTTTCTTCACATTTTATGTATCTTCTGTTCTTGCTGAAATGCTACAGACATCAAGTGCTACCACTTCCACAGCTTCAAGCTTAAAGGTAAAAACCAGCTTGGTAAGAAGAGGCAATGCAGCTCCCACTCTTTCTTTTCTTTTCAGTTCACTTAAGATTCATTTGTATAGTACTTTTAACAATAGTAATTGTTGTAAAGCAGCTTTACATAATTTCAGGCTGAGACCCCCAGTGAGCAAACACAATGCCACAATGGCCAGGAAAAACTCCCTGAAAGTAAAGAAATGTTAGGAGTAATCAGTGGATTTTGGGAACCTTATTCCAGATCAGCCAGGGAGAATGAGGCAGTAGGTTAAAACAAATTGTAATATTTTTCTTCAGTTACTTTGATTTCTGTAGCTGTCATGCCAGAGTGTAGCTTCAGACAAGTGTGGATAGGTTCATATTTAAATGATTTAATATAAAATAAAATAATAACAGTGTTATGCTGATGTTGGTTAATGGTCACATGGAGGTGAACAAATAAAATATAATTTTTTAGTAAGTGTTTATTTATTTTTGATTTTTAAATTATTGATTTTATATGATTTAATTATTTATTGGCTTTTCATCAACTCTTGCAAACCCCAAATTGGGAGACCCTAGTGTAGCTCAATACCTAATTGTACTCACCTATTCATCCCTCAGTTATCCATTCTTTCATTAATGTTTTTTAAAGCAAAACTAAATAAATTAATCTAAATTCACTGAAAATAATCTTATTTTTTCTTACTTTGCAGTGTAATGCTGTACAGGTTGTGTGAGATTCACTTACAAATCTACACCCCAAAGACTTGGTAAATAATAGCTACTTAAAGTCTTGATGAAACTGAAGTAACAACAGAGCTTTTCTTCCATATTGTGATGTACATCCCAATGAAACTGATTATCGAAAAAGAAAAAAAGGTTCTGTCCATTGTAATTAATTGGATATAAGCAGGTCTGGATGTAAGCTTGGCAGCCTGAATATGAATAATCTATTCAAAATAATACAAATTATTTATATTTGTTTCACATACTGATATAAAAACAATGGACATGGAATATATCAGATGTACTAATTCCGTTTAAGTCATCCAATACAACACTCCTGTTCTCATGCTTCCTGATTCTTGGCTCTGTGTGCCCTTATCTCAGGACAGAGGATAAAGGCACATGTTTTGGCCCAGCTTGTGTTCTTTTCTTCCTGTCAGTCGAGCACAGACTAGAGATCTATTTTGACACTGTCTAACACTGTACAAAAAGGTGGTCCAATAACTGCAATCCAGACAATCAATTTCATATTTTTCCAATTCCTTTCCTCCTCAACAACTAGAAAGGCCATGAAATTGCAGTCAAATGAAAGGCTTTCTGTTGCCTTGGCTGTATAATATCTTTTTGCTTATGTTTACATTCCTATAGCCTGCTACCTTTATATATAGTGCCAGATTTCCTGATATCAGCGCACCATATCATCATATATCCCTGGGACTGCACACTTTGTACTAACATCAGAGCAAAGCGGATTTACTCATTCGAAATGCGAACAGGTCAAACTTGAAAAGCTGTATTCCTTGCAAAATTCAGAATATGCTCAGGGCTGCGGAAAGCTACAATCACGCTATAAGGTTTTAACCTTGTAGTATTCCATCAGGAAAGTCTCTTCTAGCAGTCCTACTTGATAAGCTGCTGTACGTTTTATCTGGAATTGCTTGAGGCATTTATGGCATTTCAATTTCAGCTTTTGACAGTAAAGATATTTGCTTTGTTAGCCAGTCACATTTTTCAAGATATGCATTCACACCTGCCAGGAACAGAACACCAGTAACAACAAATATGGCCTTGCTTGCTTTGCAATGCATCTCAAAGCAATGTATGGCATCATTAAGGTTAGGGTATGATGTCATCAGGACCGGGACTAGGAGCACAGAGGTCTTGTATAACCCTGAAGGGATTTATTGTGAAATAATGATGGCTGACTGTACATTATCCTGCACCCATTATCCATGGATGCTCATCAAATAAACTACATGGACAAAATATTGATTTGAATTGAAATTATTATATAATTCCAATCCAGTCGCATCGAGTTCAACAGAAGGCTGCTTACTTTGAAAGTAAACAATAAACCTTTTAAGTGTTTTGGTAATCTTTGAAGATTTTTTTTTTTTAAACCAATTTGATTTCAGATTCTGAAAGTTCTGTTTATATGAACCCTAAACCTTGCAATCACCATGAGTATAATTGTCATTTTTGGCTTATGAAAAATACAGGCCTGTTGCGACATTTTTGCAAAAAAATAATATTACATTGCTCCTTGCACTTTTCCCAGCAGTTTCAAAGTCAGTTGTCCAGTGAGTGGCGTAAAGATGAGTGTTCAATTTTCTTTGAAACAGATAAATGTGACTGCCAACATTTTATTGCTGGTTCACGCACATATCGCGACAAGTCGGAAATCAAATGCCGATGCGTGGCGCTAAAAGGTTAATGCTTTATCGCTTTGAAAATAACATACTACCTACTCTAAATCTAACCAATACTGTTAAAGAAAAATAAATAAATAAATTAAAAAAAATAATAAAACCAGCCTAAGCTGATTGACTGCTTTGACTGGTCTCCCAAGCTGGTTTTAAAGT